TCATGTCATGATTATGCACACCCCTTCAAGTAAAGTGTAACCAAATGTTTCAAGTTATGTGCACACGTAATGTAACATATTTCATTCTATAAATTTCTCTTTACAAGGGCAAATTCTGTAAAAAGGTTTCCGTATTTATTAGTCACAAATTACTGGAAAGCAATTGGATAAATCATGGAAATTCTTTCGTTAAAAGCTGTTGGAACACAGATTTATGACATTTTAGCTAGCTAATTGTTCATGCAAATAATTGTAATCAGCAGTTTAGTTATATAAAGTATCTTAAATCCATTTTCCATTCTTTTTTTTTTTGTTAATCCAGCCCTCATAATATAATAATGCATTATTAACTTTTTATTGTTTTGAAGTTATTGATTTTGTGTAATATATTTTAATTAATATAAAAAAATATGTATTATTTTTATTATGCATTTGTAATGCATTTATTAATTTATTTTATTTTATATGCCATTTTAAGACTTTAACATTTGAAGTACGTTCTAAAATGTCAGAGCTCTCATGTTACTGCCACAAAAAGGACAAATAAATGCACGTTTCATGGTACTTTTATATTTGCTTATGTAATAATTATAGCAGGCCTAATAAATATAAGTATATAATTTTTACAAGCATTTTGTTTCTTGCTTGATATTCTTGGTTGTCAAGTCACCTTTATTTCTACAGCGCTTCATAAAATACAGATTGTTTCAAAGCAGCTTCTCAGTAATGAACAGGAAAATAACATCTCAATCATGCAAAGTTTTTCAGTTTGATTAGGTTTTCGGTTGAATGAGTTCAGTTTTGTCATGTGTTTATCTCTCCAGCGGATCCCACCGTGAAGGATTTCATCGGAGGCTTCACAGCTCTGCATTACGCCGCCATGCACGGCCGTGCCCGCATCGCCCGCCTCATGCTGGAGTCCGAGTACCGCAGCGACATCATCAACGCCAAGAGCAACGACGGCTGGACCCCGCTGCACGTGGCGGCCCACTACGGCCGCGACTCCTTCGTGCGTCTCCTCTTAGAGTTCAAAGCCGAGGTGGACCCGCTCAGCGACAAGGGCACGACGCCGCTCCAGCTGGCCATTATCCGCGAGCGCTCCAGCTGCGTACGCATCCTGCTCGACCACAGTGCCAACATAGACATTCAGAACGGCTTCTTACTGCGTTACGCCGTAATTAAGGGCAACCACTCGTACTGCCGCATGTTCCTGCAGAGGGGAGCGGACACTAACCTGGGCCGGCTGGAGGACGGACAGACGCCGCTGCACCTGTCGGCCCTCAGAGACGATGTGCTGTGCGCGCAGATGCTGTACACGTACGGAGCCGATACCAACACGAGGAACTACGAGGGCCAGACGCCTGTGGCTGTTTCCGTCAGCATGTCTGACATCAGTCGGCCTTGTCTGGACTTTCTGCAGGAGGTCACAAGTAGGTTCACCCTCTCTTTAATGTTCATATGTGACCCTGGAGCACAAAAGCGGTCTTAAGTCGCTGGGGTATAT